TGGAGATAATAAAACAACTAAATTCTAAATTTGTAAAATTTATAATATATTTCTAAATTAGATAAAAACTCATATTTTCATTTTTATTAACATTAAGAATTTCTAAACTTTAAGTTGGTCTCATTTACTGAATAATTTTTCTAAATTAGACTCTTATATTTCTAAATCAAAATTTTAGTAAATCCTAAATAAACTCATATACATATCATACAAATTTAGTTTTTAAAGATTGAAGTGTCACTTGAGGACAAGTAACATTTTAAGTTTGGGGGATTTTAATACAACTAAAATATATAGTGTTTTTAGACACATTTTTAATCTATTTTTGAGATATTTCACTTTAATGGAAGGTATTTTTGTGTTTTTCTTGCCGATACAGGTCAAAAGGGTGAAAAATAGATACAGGTAAAAATGGTGAAAATTGCTTAAAGGAGTGAAAAAAGGATCAAATTTGGAGCAAAAAGGTGAAAAATGTGCAAAAGAGTTTTGGTGTCTAAGCGCCGGTTAAATAGAGAAGGCCGCGCCTAAGTGCTAGAGGCCCAGCGCTTAAGCGCCAGTAGTAGTTATTGAACGAGTAAATTCGGTTTTCGTGAATTTAAAGAGGTTTTTGAGGCACCCATTGGCTTAATAGGTGGTTATAACCACCATGGACAAAAATTATCATGAAAGGATGCATCTCTTGGGGAAATACATCAAATCTAGACATATTTTGAAGAGAAACCAAAGAACCTTTTGGGAAATTATAAAAGAAAGAAGAGAGGACTTAGAAAAGGGTCCCAAAAGTATTGGAAAGTTTTGAAAGTTCTCATTTGGGGAGTTAGTTTAGAGAGATTTTCAGGCACCACTTTTAATTTTATTTTATTTTGAGTGATTGTAAACAGAAGAAAATCAAAGTAACTTCAAGAGTTTGGAAGAGGACTTGAGATAATTTTTTATCTTTTTTTTAGACTACTTTTGGTTTTAATTGAGACTTGTTGTTGGTTTGACAATATTTTTTTCTTTTAAACTAAAGTGTGGTTTTGTTTTCTCCATAGATTCTGAGTAGTTTTCTTTATCCTTCTTCTTAAAATGATAAGTAATTAAGTTTTGGATGGAAGTTGTGGAAAGCATTGATCTTCAATGATAGAAGAAGTTTTGATGATTTAAATCCATGCACTTCATTTTCTTCTTATTTTGACCAATCCAGAAGTTAAAATTTGTTGTGATAACACGTAAGAACCAGGCTAGTATTGTCTCTATCAATAATTGGAAAGAATCACATTAGGTTGTATGAATGAGAATGTAGTCCATACGATTGAGTGCAAAAAAATAAGGAAATATTCATTGAAGGGTGTAGAGTAAGAGGACTTTAAAATGACATGTTAATGCCCCCAAATTGGGTTATTTTTTTAGGTTTTGATACGAGATGTTAGCCCCTAGGTGGAGGGAATCAAGGGAACTTTAGAGTGAGAGCTAGTATCTTCCCTGCCTAGTCAATCTTCAGAACTATTCAAACGTTAAATTAGTTAATGTTCTTTATAGCATCTCTAATAAGGGTAAAGAATATTATTGTTCATATTTGACACAACACAATTTGCATACTTCCACAATAGAATTGTTATACTTATTACTGGTTCATAACAAGAAGAAAGATATTTTCATATTTAGTGTTTTTTTTCTACAAAAACTCTAGTAATCTTTTTAAATTGTTATTGTTCTATCAAAATATTGAAAATTCCAAAAATATTTAAATTTTCATTACTGAAAAAATCATCTATAGTTTAGATAATTATCTTTTTATTAAAAATAAAAATTTTGTTGTTCAATAACGTACATTGTGTATTCTCTCTGTGGGTTCGATATTCAGGTCTTAATCAAAAAGTCCTATATTACTTGATAATGATGTGTATACTTGCATAGTATCTCAATATATATAAATTAAAAATCTTATTTTTCTTCACGATCAAGTCTTTGGTTTTGTTACAAAGTAAGGAAATATAAGTGAAATATAATCTGAATTATTGTTGTATTGTGCCTATTAGCAGTATCCAGAGATCAAGTTTTTGGTGTCGTTATCGGGGAGAAATTAATTTAAAAGCAAATTTTTATTTGTAGAAAGTCTTATTTAAACTTTAAGTTATCTTATTTTATCTTATTTTGTGTGTTTATTTTATTTTATTTTATTATATGTTAGTCTATGCGTAGTTCAGGTTCTGAAGGACTAGAGCCCGTTCTGAAGGACTAGAAGGTTCTGAAGGACTAGAGCCCTACGATTCTGAATTAAAAAGAACTATTAGAAAAATCAGAAAAAACCAAAAAAATTATAAATTTTGAAAAATCCAAAAAAATTACAGAAACGACATCCTTGAAGCTACTGAAACAGATCCCCAACGTGAAGAATACCACCGGCACAATACAAGATTTTAAATCCAAGACTAGCAGAATACCATCGGCACGCCATGAAGCTGCTGGAACAGATCCCCAACGTGACTTTCTACCGGATTCCTAGGGGAGATAATGCCCATGCTGATGCTCTAGCAAAACTTGCTAAGGAGATGGTATGTCCCCCGGAGGATTCCATTAATATCATAGTAAAAGGAAGACAAGTTTTTTTCTCAAGTCGACCTCAACAATCTTCACAAGCTTGGAAAAGACAAAGAAATGATGATTGCGGTTGCAGACATCAACGAAGATTGGTGTAAGTCATTGATGGAATATTTGCAAATTTGGAAGTTATCAGAGGATAAGTCTGAAGCACATCACATTAAAAAAGGTCTATGTCTTACGCTCTAATGGGTAACGTCCTCTACAGAAGATCATCTAACCAGATGTGGCTACGTTGTTTAAGCAAAACAGAAGCACAAAATATTGTTAAAGAAGTACATGCCGGATTGTGTGCCGCTCACCAGTCAAGGCTGAAGATGAAAATGAAGATCAAGAGACTCAGATATTATTAGCCAGCAATGATGTCTGACTGCATGGATACGGTCAGAAGATGTCACCAGTGTCAAATGCATGGGGTGGTTTTGCACCAACCTCCAAAAGTTTTACACCCAACCGTCGCCTCGTGGTCGTTTGAGTTTTGGGGCATAGATGTAATAGTTACGATAGACCCTCTGTCTTCGAAAGGACATAGATTCATACTCACCGCTACATATTAAGTCTTCAAATGGGTGGAGGCAGTACCATTACAAGTGGTTACGGCACAGCACGTCCTTGAATTTTTTAAAATTCAAATTGTCTACCGTTTCAAAGTACCGCAAAGAATAATTTCTGATAATATGACAGCCTTTAACAGTACCAAAATCAACAATTTCATAAAACGACACGGGATAGATTTGAGATATTCTACAATTTACTATCTTAGGGCAAATGGCCTGGCCGAGGCCTTCAACAAGATTTTGGTACAGATTTTAAAGAAAACACTTGATTAAAACAAAAGAGATTGACACAACAGATTATTAGAAGCTTTGTGGGCATACCAGATGACGTTCAGGACTCCCACTCTATGCACACCCTACAAGTTGAACGTCCTTGAGCGGACCAATTTTTCATGAGCTTGTACAATCTTTGCTTGGTAAAGTTCCAAATGTTGTTGTGCTTCTAGCCTAAGTCTTTTTCCTTCAAGACTCTCAAATACCTTGAGCCTGAGCTTTGCACTTTCTTCAGTTGTAAGTTGGTTGGCAACACCGACTCTGAGAGATGGCGTCTGGATTTCTCTTAGGTGACTTTGGTCAATTAAGATGTAATTAACTATAAGGGCTTTCCCTTTTAGGAAGCTTTTTTGAACCCAACTTAATATAAACCCTATTTAATTCTGTATCTATCATTTTTCTCTAGATTCAAATGATTATTGTTACCTCAACTGGAATATGTATCTTGGGATCCACTAAAACTGGCAGCATCTCTTCCTTGCTAGCTGTAAGTTGAGAATCCTTCCATAAGTCTTCACCTTGTCCTCGTGCTCAAAAGACACATTCTTGTACGCCGCAAGATAGGTGAAAAATTTGAGCCAACTTGGGAGGGACCATTTGTCATACAAAAGGTCTACGCAGGAGGAGCCTACCAGCTAGTAGATTTTCGTGATGAAAGACCCATGTTGTGAATCAACGGACAATACCTGAAGACATACTGTGCAACCTGAAATTGTTTGACATCGCTTAATTTAAAATTTTAAAATCTTTATTGTTCTGCGATTATCTATTTGGCTAAACATCTCTGACCAGATCCAAAAATTTTGTAATAAAATTAACCTAAATATAATGAAAATTTTTGAAATTACACATTTTAATTTACTCCTTTCTACCTTTAAACTATTTTAATTTACTCCTTTCTACCTTTAAATTTGATATTCTACTAAATTGAACAAAATACATACATAAAAAATAATTTTCTCACCAACATAAACTAAAATTTTCTTTAATAAACAATCTGTTTTGTTCGTTTTCACAGTAAGTTTCAGCTCAGTTATATTTTTTCTGTCGTCTGCAGAAAAATGTCAGGCCAAAGGCTGATCTTTACTTTTAAAGATGGTTGGAACCTCGCACTCGCCGAGGAAAGGGAGCCGCAGGGCGCCATCATAGACTTTGACATGGACTCAGTCAAGTCAACATGGACTATGAGGGTCTTCTAATAGACATGGTTAGCCATCAGGAAAAAGAAGGGCTACCATCGCTGCTAAGGTTTGGCATCAAAAACAGTTCCTCACTGAAGGAAAAAAAGGTGATAATACAACAAGACCCGATGGAGGGGACTAGTCGCCTACCGTCTATGATAGCTACACCAACCGGAGGCCTAGTCACTACCAATGATGAAAGACTGCTAGATGCACCACTACGTAGAACTCAGCGCAGGAACACTAACCGCTGAAAGCAAAGGGCTTTTTTACCTGAAGAGAGAAGACGCCGGAAGGAGGCGAAAAATTTGCTCACCCCCATTCCTGAGGGGAACATATATCAATCAGGCATGAGAGAGACCTCTTACAGTTTTCCAGCTACACAAGATGAGTCCAGGTTTGTTACAGAGCCAGAGATACCACTAGTTTCAGATGTTCTTTGTACGGGTTGCCCGACATGCAACGCTAAGATACCTGCACGTACATCAGCTACATAAGCATTTGTGGAGTGTCTGGACTGCAATGTCCTCCACCTTGAGCGTTACAGTAATTTAAAGGAGTACGTATCCTCTGATGATGGATTTCAGACCATAGATTACCTGATGAATGCAGAACCTTATGCCCCGTTGGGTACAGAGCCATATATCCCATCGGGATGCAGAGTCATACATTTCGCTGCAGGTAGATACAGCACCAACCTGGATTCCCATCGACGTGGAAATAAGGGAACATCCTTGATAGCCGCCGATCATTAGTATGGTAGAATACTATAAAATGAGTAAAGTAAAAATGAGTAAAGTAAACAAATGAGTAAAGTAAACAAAAGGGATTTTGAATTTTATGAAGAAGTTCAAGGAAGGTTCATTAATATACTAGAAGGCTTGGAGCTATATACGAGGGTCTTCTACGAAAGTGATGAAAGAAGTACTCTTGAGTACATCTTTAATCTGAGAGATAGAGGTTAAGTAGGCCTCCTGATGGAAAGAAGATATTCTGAGCCACAAAAATGGATGCGTGGAAAGGGTAGGATCACCATACAGTGTGGCTACTATTACAACTTCACTAACGATAGACAAGGAAATCCTCCTCGAATTCTGAGACATGATCAGGTGGATCCGCTACCCCCCATGATAAAGTGGATGATTAAGAAAATGTTCTGATGGAGCATACTACCAACTAAAAATATTCCCAATAGTTGTATTATCAACATATATGATGAAGGAGACTGCATAGCCCCGCACATTGACCATCATGACTTTGTGAAACTTTTCTGCACAGTCTCTTTCATGAGCAAGAGCAACATTCTGTTTGAAAAATAAATTCATATCATTGGCCCTAGTGAGTTCAGAGGAGTCGTGGAGATTCTGATACCAGTGGGTTCAGTGCTGGTTCTTAAAGAAAACGGAGCAGACGTTGTCAAACACTGCATTCCAGGAGTGCGACACTGTAGGGTGTCTGTGACCTTCCTGAGGATGGATGACAGCAAAATGTCATATGGATTCCGACCAGACCCGGACCTGGAAGAACTACTACCTTACAAGCTATGAGAGGGTTGCACCTCTAAGCACAAGCAAAAAGAACTCTTCTCCTGGAGCATGACTTAGTAGGTCTGCTCGATCAGGAGCTTGCCCCGCCAAAGACAGTCACTCAGAGGATTCCTTTTTTATTTCATATCTTCACAGCATATATGATATGTATTATACATTCTTAGCCTATGATATGTACTTAGTATAGGATATTTTTTTATGTACTTTGATGCAGTCATGCATAATTGTACTTTTTGAGGCATTGGCCTGCACTCAATTTGTAACACTTATTGGAGCTTACTAATGAAATCTCTTTCAAAAGTTTATCTATTTCTTCAATTGCCCTTTTTGTGTTATGGATAAAAGCCACAGAGCCATACTTTAGTTCAGACTACAATGAACAAAGAACAAAATAACCAAAAATATTTTTGATGATAATAAAATTCAATAAAAAAAACTCTCTTTTGAAAAGTCATCAACCAACTAAAATTAATTTCTGAAAATGTATTTTTATAATTAAATGTGATAAAAATAACAAGAAAAGAAAATAAATTTGTTGAGTTGATTCTCTCAATTTTGAGGTCTTTTACTCTTTGCTCGTGCAACACGACTATCCTTGTCTGCACTAATTCTCTTCATATCCTTGTGGAACTCCACATTCTGCATAAAACCTTACAAAATTTTACTCAACTTCCTCACCAATGTCAATCTTCTTACATGACATGCATTTATGAATTCGACACCACAAACTTTTTTGCACTACATTCCTACCCTCGAGGCCAATACTGAGACACTATTTCCCTTTTTACCTACCTTTTGAGATTGGTATAAGACCCCCTCCATGGCATCCAACTCTCTACCTATTTCTTTGAGATAGGTGTAAGACCCCCTCCACGACATCCAATTCTTTACCTACATCATCGAGATTGGTGTGAGACCCCCTCTACGTCGTCCAATTCCCTATTCTCAACCTTTTTAGATTGGTATAAGACCCCCTCCATGTCATCCAATTCTCTATCTATATCTTTGAGATAGGAGTAACACTCTCTTTTATGGAAAATCACATCCTATTCTCAACCTTTTGAGATTGGTATGAGACCCCCTCCATGGCGTCCAATTCTCTACCTATATCTTCGAGATTGGTGTAAGGCCCCCTCTATGACATCCAATTATCTACCTATATCTTTGAGATAGGAGTAAGACTCCCCTTTATGGAACATTGCATCCTATTCTCAACTTTTAGAGATTGGTGTAAGGCCCCCTCCATGGCATCTAATTCTCTACCTACATCTTTGAGATTGTTGTAAGGCCCCCTCCATGGCATCCAATTCTCTACCTACATCCTCGAGATTGGTGTGAGACCCCCTCCGCGGTGTCCAATTCTCTATTCTCCTTTTTGAGATTGGTGTAAGGCCCCCTCCATGGCATCCAATTCTCTACCTACATCCTCGAGATTGGTGTGAGACCCCCTCCGCGGTGTCCAATTCTCTATTCTCCTTTTTGAGATTGGTGTAAGGCCCCCTCCATGGCATCCAATTCTCTACCTACATATTTGAAATTGGTGTACAGCCCCCTCCATGGCATCCAATTCTCTACCTACTTCCTTGAGATTGGTGTGAGACCCCCTCCACGACGTCCAATTCTATATTCTCAACATTTTGAGATTGGTGTAAGGCCCCCTCCATGGTATCCAATTCTCTACCCATATCTTTGAGATAGGTGTAAGACCCCCACAATGGCATCCTACTCTCAATCTTTAAGTTCATCACCTGAGTACTGATTCCCATCCTCTATAAAAAACTTAAAATCTGATAACTCAACACCCACTCTCTAATCCCCAGTGAGAGTTCCTAATCCTCGATGTTGATCATATATTCACATCCCAATTCCCTAGCAGAAAAAAATAGTACACACAATTCTACACCTCCTTCGAGGTTTGTTGACTTAGGAGTCTGTATTGGTTTTGTTGATTTCATCGATCAACGCCAATACATGTGATGTGCTTGCCCAGCACACCACACCTATTGGGGGTCCATTTATTGACCTCACAATTGGTTGAGGATTACTTTTTTTTCTCTTTAGTAGCCCAGGGTCTAGCCATATGACTTTCCTGTTGACTATTCCTAGAAAACTAGAAAAGAAACTACACACAATTAACTTGAAGCTCACTTGAAGCAAGCTCTACATATTGGTCCTAACCTCTAGCGCTTAGTAGGTGGGGTCATTATGGGGGAGCTCAAGGAGAGTTCCCATAGGACTATTTGACCTTAGGGTTAACCCTGGGTGCTGTTCTGGGGCTAAGGCACTCACATTCACTCACTATACTCACAATCCCTCACAACCCTAAACCCAGTATTTGTTGACTTTGATCCCTTGATCTTTTGGGAGACTCGTGTAAATGGTCCCCTAACCCCACTAGTCCTAGGCTTGGGTTTAGCTAAGATGAGTACATAGAGGACCCAAATGAGGATTCCATTGATCCATGGCTCATATCGGGTGGTTGGCACCCCAATTCTACAAAAAATATCCAACATAGCTTTTTATCCTAAAATCCCCATAATTACTTAGTATCCTTAGAGCCCTAAATTTGCCAAAAGTTCCAAAATTCCCAAATCCACCCAAAATACCCAAATTTGTCCAAAAATCACTTCAAACCTTTTCAAAATACCCATGTCACCCAAAACTAACCAAAAATTCCAAATTTACCAAAATACCCCCAAAATGGCCAAAATTACAGAAATACACTTGACACCCTAAACTTTCCCAAAACCTCCCAAATCACTCCAAATATTTCCAAAACAAATTTGCACCCTCCAACAATTTAGGCAATTTGACTATTTTGACCAAAACCCCCAAATTGCTTTTAAAGGCCCAACTTTTCCAAATTTACCCCAAATGTCCCCAAATTTTCCTCAATTTCAATTCTAAACTCAAATTCACCCTTAAAATAAACAATATAAACCAAATCTAAGCTTAATTGGCCCATGCTTTGAGCCCAATTTTGATCTAATTCAAAACCCCAACTTTGGCCCAATGACTTTGTTCCACCAATTTGAACCCCATAGCCTACTAAATTTCCCCCAATTTGAATCCTAAACTCTTTATGACAATCCTACACACCAAAATTGACCTTCAAGTGGCCCTGGTAAAGCCTCAATTTCATTTAATTTTGACCCAAGTCCAAAAAATCCTTAAATTAGCCCCAAATTGCCCATACATCCAAGACCAAAATTGACCTAGCCATGTCAAATTGACCAAGGCAAGACTTCTACAACCAATTTTTCGACCCTAGTGACCACGACCCTAGTGACTCGACCCTAGTGACCAAGCTAGACTCACTTAACCCATCCTAGATGAGCCATGGACCAAAGGTCCCCTAAATCAAGGGACTTGTTTCCTATATTTCTTAAACCAAAGAGATCTTTGCCAAAACCCATCACAACACAAATTAATGGTTGTAACAGATTCCTCTAGCTCACCTGACCTCCTAGCCACCTCCCTTGGCCCTGCCGGCCGACCTAGTCATTGGAGAACCTCAAAATCGAGCGCCACCATCCCTAAATCAAAATTAATCTCAACCCTAGGGGCCAGCTCACCTTGATTAAGCTTTAGAGCCTCTTAGCCCACCACCTTAGCAAACTTTTGCTCCCAAGGACAAGCCTTGAGCTTCACTCTCCGGCCATGGCTATAAAATGACCTCTTCACGGCCAAAGGAAGGGTGCTAAAATTTTCTCAAGGAGACCCTTCCAAATTGCTCCCATAGCCTCTTTGAGACCTCCTCAATGCAACCCAACCACCTCTTTACCCTCATTTCCCTTGTCGGAGCTCAATTTTTGAGCTCAAATCCTTGCCAGAGATAGGATATTCTCCACCACACCTCCACAGTACACCAAATCTTAATTAAACTCACCAACACCATCCCCACAGTGAAAGAAGACAAAACCCCCTCATAGAGAGCCTCTACACTAGACTTTGATCAACACCCAAATTCGTCCTTGATCAAATTTGTGTCTAGACCTTTCACCACGATCAAAGGCCCAATCCCTAGCCTTTTTGGACCTCCACAAATGTGTCGAGCACCTCTGATTGAAGCTTCCCTTCTCAGAGCAAAGGTATTCAACTTCCCCTCTTCCCAAGCATATTTTGATTCTCCATCTGATTAGGGTTAGTTTAATGGCATGTTTACCATATGGACATGTTTGTCTCACATAGACGATTTTATAAGATCAAACTCAAGGTCA